GTGTTTCCTGCCTGCTCTTCCCGGCCCCACTCCATCCCTTCCCCCACTGAGTCACTCCTCTCCTCCACCCCTGACTCCGCTGGCTGCTCACTCCTCCCTGTGGCAGAGGAGAGGACTAAGTGGTAACTGTGAGCCACAAGGGGAAGGGGCGGGGGGGAGGAGGACCCAGAGCCAAGCAGGAGCAGGGCTTGGGGCAGAGTGTGGGTGGGGCTTCATGGGAAAGAGGCCAAGTAGGGGCGGAGTCACGGTCCACGCATCGGGGAACTCCTGGCACTCACAGCAGCCTCTCCACATGCCAAGCCTTGTGTCACACATACTTGGGGCATATACTTTTAGAGGAAGAGCGCTTGTATGGAGCCCAAACCACAGGCAGCTTTTAATTGAAGGCTCCTTGCCCCAGGGCCTGCTGCTGGTTCACCAACATACACAGACTGGTAAATCAATTAATCAACTGGCGGTCCAACCAGCCACTATAGTGGCGACTGCTATAGCAAACTAGCCACACGCAACCAGCCAAATAGCCACATGTGGCTAGTGTGTTGGACACCACACAGGGAGCCCTTTGACCTGTTACTTCCCCCCCTACAGCGTCCCGTGCCTCAGTTTCCCCATCTGTAAAATGGGGGTCGCGATATTGACCTTGCCTGTAAACCTCTCTGAGATTTATGGATGAAAAGTGCAATGCCAGAGCTCGTCTTTGTAGTTATTCTGAATGACAGCAGCTGCCTCTTGCTATTATACCCGTGTTAATTAGGAGTGACCCCATTACAGTCGGTGGACCTGTGCGGCTGTCAAATCTGTGCAACTAAGTGGACACTCAGCCTTGCTGGGTTTCATTAACGCAAATAAACACAGGAGGACCAACAGCCCTTTCTTCCCCCTACATGTGACAGGCTCCCTTATAACACCCTGCACGCTACAGAGCTCCCGTGTAAGGCACCCCCCCAGCATAGACACAAAAAGCAAAAGGAGGGTGAAATTCTCATGGCCACATGGGTGGGTCTCACCCTGGCATGGGCCTGGGTCTGATCGCATGTACCAAGTGTAACTCCCCAGACCGCAATGCCGTTACTCTGGATGTACCCTGGGGAGGTCAGAAACAGCCCCCGCACCACTGAAGAATCCCCGGAGACGGGTAAAGGGAGCAACGTCTGTGTAAGTGGGCAGAGACCGATGGGGATACGTGGCTCCTATACTGCCAGAATTTCATTCTGATATTCCCATGCCTGGGGAGCGAAATTCCAGACACTTGCCGCCCTGAACCCCGGCCTGGCCGCTCCGATTTCCGTCCCACCCCAGCTGCTCTCCTGCTCATTCCACGTTGCCTCATTCCCCTTGTGCGGAAGAACCACCACCAATTACTGAACAAACACACAAACCAAAAGGCAGCGCCCACCTCTGGGGCATTTCATCTTAGACCAGGGAAGAAAACCACCCCTGGGGATGCACCTGCTGGCATCAGACAGATACCCGGGAGCTGGGGCGGCGGGCGCAGAGTTAGGAACCCGCTGAATACAAGGGAGTCAATATCGGAGCCCCCTCCGCCCGCCCCCTGCTGAGATCAAACAGGGGAACAGACATGAGGCTTGGCCCTTACCTGCGGAGTTCGCACGGAGGATCCACCCCAAATGCAGCACAAAGCCCAGGACCAAAAGCAGCTCCCACGAACCTTGCCGGCCCATCTCCGCACCTGGGCGAAGAACTGGCGTCTGATCTGCCCTGCCGGTCACCCAGGAAACTCCCCGCTGGGAGCCCTTGCCCCTGCTTCCTTGAGCAGCCTGGTTTCCTGGTTCGCTTCACCGGGCGGGGGTGGAGTGTTCTGCTGGATGCTTGTCTGGCCTCCCAGCGAGTGGCTTCTTCCTGCAGCTGGTCACACCCTGCCCAGATGCAAATGCAGCAGGGGAGAGGTTGCTGGGACTGGGGGGCAGGGCTGGGGGCTGCCCTGCTCTGAATGCACACACAGCAGCAATGGGGTTCGTGGGTCTGGGGGACTAACCAAAGGCCAGGTTTAAAGCTGTCCCTGCTCCGAGGGTAGCACAGACTCCCCCGCTTAGGGCCATCCTGGTGCGACCCCCCCCCCCCCGCCATGAATGACAGCCCCTCTCTGTGCAGCACTAATGTGCTAAGGGCTGCATTTCTGGACCCAGCCGTGCCCACCATGGCTAGTTACAAGTGGCTGCAGAACCCTGGGGATTTCACCTGAATTCTGCCACCAAGGCCAGGGCTCCGTAGACCCTGTTGCTGCTCTAATAACGTTAATTAAGGCGCTGATGCTCCGTAAGCCCAAGTGTTGATGCCTCCATCCCAGCCTCCAGCAGTGTTCCCTGTAAGCTGAGCACCTAGGCGGCCGCCCAGGGGAGATTCAGATGCCGCCCAGCAGATTAGCAGAGCGCCCACAGCTGCATGTGTTTCTAGTGGTGGTGCACATCTGCACTTCCCTTGGCGCGCATAACAAAATTTATTCTGCATGCAAGCAGGGTCTGAATTAAAGCTTCCATTACAACCAGCTGGAATGGGAAAGGAACCCTGGGTGTGGTTATGTAAATACACTTCACGCAGATTGCTCAGGCCTGCTAGGTGTTCAATTGTTGGAAGGTGCTTTGCCCATTGTAACCAATTTGGCTGTTGTGGGGGGTCACAAACTGTGTTAAAACTAA